GAGGTGAGGGTTGGGGTGTGAGATCAGAGAGATAGGGAGAAGCTGAGGCCACTGGGGGACTTTGCATTTTTCCCTGGTTGAGATGAGAAGCTCTTGGAGGAACTGGAGCTGTGGAGCCCCATGATCTGATGCGTGCTTTCACAGGATCACTTGGGCTGCTGTATGTAGAATAAACAGAAAGGTGGGGAAGTAGATTCAGGTAGTCTGGTTGGGAGGCAACCACAATGAAGTTCTCAGACCAGCAGAGAGTGTTCACATTTTTTTGCTTTAACAAAAGGATTTTCATTCAGAAATGGTGTGACAAATAAGCAATAAAACATATGAAAAATACAAAATATACTCCAGATAGAAGATGCTGGGTGTATTAGTCCATTCTCATGCTGCTATGAAGAAATACCCAAAACTGGGTAATTTATAAAAGAAAGAGGTTTAACTGATTCACATTTCTGCAGGGCCAGGGAGGCCTCAGGAAGCTTACAATCATGGTGGAAGGGGAAGCAAACATCCTTCTTCACGTGGCGGCAGCAAGGAGAATTGCAGAGTGAACTGGGAGAAAAGCCCCTTATAAAACCATCAGATCTCTTGAGAACTCACTATCACGAGAAAAGCATGGCGGTAACCGCCCCCATGATTCAGTCACCTCCCACCAGGTCCCTCTCATGACACATGGGGATTATGGGAACTACAATTCAATATGAGATTTGGGTGGGGACACAGCCAAACCATATCACTGGGTATCACAAGGCCACCCCAGGCTGACTGTGCTCCCCATAATCCTAGGGCCACCATTGCACGCACATTGGAGCTGTGCAATGGCCCTGCTTGGGCTGGGGAATTAGCAGGGAATGAAGCTGGGACTCTGAATATGTTTGAAAGGTAAGGCCAACAGGCTGTCTAGCAAGATCCCTTTCACAGTGGAAATGGAATCATCTTTTGTCATTTTCCTCATGTGGGTCCCCTCTGCAGAGCAGGTTCAGTGTAGAACTTTCGTTTGGATTCTCAAGAACCAGCAGAAAGTCACCGAGTGCTGCCCTGGTTTTGTCATCAGTCATCAATCTCCCAAAAGCCTGGGGAAGATAACATGGAGAGTGAGCCCAGATGTATCTTTGGAGACAAGGTGCCCATTAATAGAATGTCATATTTAGTCAATGACATTGTAGGAATTTGTAAGTGTTTTCTGAAGGGAAAAACATTTTGTCTTTGATGGATTTTCTGTTTTACAGACATAATTAATCACATGTCTTAAGAAATCAATTTCTCTAATAGCAAAAATAATCTATGTTTTGCCAACTGGAAACACCACTTTCATTTAAGAAACACTCTCCATCAGTTGATTGTACTTCTTGGCGCCAGAAGCAAGGATGCCGTCCATATGCTCGGATTATAATGATTCACTGAAGAAATATGAAGTTCTCAGACCAGCAGAGAGTGTTCAAATGCTTTTGCTTTAACAAAAGGATTCTCATTCATAAATAGATGTCACAAATAAGTAATAAAATGTAAATATACGATACACAAAGTATACAAAACAATTGTTTTGTATACAATTATACAATTGTTTTCAAACTTCTGAGGAATAGGCATATTCTGAAGAGTGTCATGTGATAATGTAGAATCAAACAATTGAACTCATACGCAGATGTTAACCTAGTCCCCTTCCCCTGCCCCCATGGCAGGACTCCTCTTCAGTGTCTTCAGGAAATGGGCTTCTACTCCCTCTCCCACCATCAGGGGACGGCAGAGCCTGACACACTGCCTGCTGTTTCCTAACTGAATAGTGCTGGCTGTGGGAAAGCCCTGCTTATTGCCCATCTACTCTCTTGTCATCTCCCCATTGGCACTGGTTAGGTTTTCTGGAATTACAGTTCTTTTCTCAAAAAGGTGAAGCTGGCTATCAAGTCAGTACTAAGAATTCACTTTTCTGAGCTCACACTTTCCCCATTCCGTCAGCTGCAACAGGAATCCAGTTTTGGTGATTTCTTAAAGAAGCCATTTGAACCGTGGCACAGCGTCCCAAAGGCACATGGCCTCCACAGAGCTCACCACGTGCTTTCCACGTCTACCCTAGGTTTCCAGAGGGAATGAGGGCTGACACTTACTGAGAGTCACCTCCTTCTTGCCCTGGGGTTGAAGTGGGGTCACCTGGGGGGAAGAAGTCCTACTTCTCTGAAAACAGCAAAGGAACTAACACTTGGCTCACCCCGACTCAGCTGTGCAGGCTTTGTTGGAAGAGAAAACCCCGCATCCCTAATCCATCAGGGTCTGGAAGAAATCTCACAAGAGAGAATGACTTGATTTTAAAATTCTGACTGCCTTTGTCATCCTCCTGCCAGGCCTGACCTTTTGCAGATATGCTTTTAATTAAGCAAGGGTTTTGCTTAGCCTCCTCCCACCTTCTTCAGTTTCCAGCGACGGTGCCAGATTGTTCAGACAACTTCTTAAATTAACACGACGGCTGCCGGTGAACTGGGGGCTTCGATGGGAGGTACCAGTGCCTGCCTTTCTGTGCTTGTCACGGCTGCTTCCCTGCAGACTGAGATCCGGGGCACTGGGGTGACAGAGAGCACGTGGCCACATCGAGGGGTCACAGGGAGGACCTTGCTGTGTGCTGCACATATTTGTGACCTGACCAATGGCTGGCAGGCTGCATCCTGGACTGAACCTAGAAGACACGCCTCTGGGGTGAAGAGGGGTCAACAAAGCAGCTCGTGTTCCCTGCTCCAAAGGATGCAGCTGCAGAGTGTTTTGGTCGTGGAGAATCGCTACCGTCCCCAACTCAGAACTTGGAACAAGCTGTCTCGTCTCCAAAATACGAAGAAAAAAAAAAGATCAACAGGAACACAAAGTGAGGTGAGGAGAAGTGCACTTGCGCAGCAAGCCCGCTGTTCCTGCCATGAGGAAATGCCGAAGTCACTTAGAACTGACGGCTGAAATGATTGTGGCAAGTGCTTTCTTGCCACACTGGATGAGGTGGCATTTCCCTATTAAAGTCCCTTACCATTTTCTAAGGGGTGCAGTTTAAGGACATCTTTTTGTGAAATACCTAATTGTACTAATTAAGCCTCCTTTTGGAGAGAACTGACCCTGCTTTTCTCCAAAGGTAAATATTGAATGTGACAGTGGGAGAAAATCATTCAAGTTGCTATTGACACACTCTGATAAACATTTGGCAAGCAAGAATCTGGTTTGAGATCCACACACCCAAAGTCCTAGGTTGATCACTGTATTCATCTCTAACATGGGTACCTGCAAACAGCAGTCTGTTACATGGGTTTCCTTTGAACTAGGAAGGCTGGCATCCTTCCAAAGGGCCACTGGGTCTGAGGTCCAGCTGCCCGCTTGGTTGCAAAACCTTCTCTTGTGTCTAGAACGTTGGGAGATATCATGGCCTTCTTATGCCCGTAGGCCAGCCCATTGATTTAGAAAGCAGTTAACAAACAGAAATACAGACACATTTGCTTCTAAGGTCTTAGGAATGAAATTCCCTTTAGAGCTCACCTGAAGTGGAGCATTAAGTGCCTCCTTGCAGAAGGGTTGCTCCTACATTTGTCCTGTTGTGATGCGTGCCTTTGACACACAGAAAACACCTAGGATCCTAGAATGTCACGCCAGCAAGGCCCTAAGGCATCACGCTTCTTCTGATGACAAACCTACAGCCCAGGGTGCTATGTGACTGGCTCAAGGCCCCACAGCAAGTTGACCTCAAAGCTGCGCCCAGGCTCCTGGGCTGATAAGCCCACACCCCCCATCCTGCCCTCCCAGGATCCTCCAGATCCTTTAAGAGGAGGAGACGCTGACCTGGGCATTTGGAGAGACACAGTCTTCCTGGACTCGGGGGTGGGAGGGGTAAGGACAGTCGCCGGGTCGCTGACTCTCTTTACAGTCTCAGGAATTGTACCTGTTTAGGGTCCCTCAGTTTTGCAGCCAACGCCAAGGCAGGTGAGGAAAACAGTCCCTGCCTGCTGTGTGTTGCTGGGACACTTTGCCGCAGATGTCACCTTCGCTCTCCTGACTCACCTAATGCTGACAGTGGCGCCCGTGGACCAGGCTTTCTTCCCACACCTCCTGAAATGCTCATTTATCAGTGGAAACTTCCTTTGCAGCACCTCAAGGAATTTCCCCCTTCAAGGGTCAGTGAATGACAGCCAGAGCAGCCTATTGTATATGGTATTGTCAGACTGAAATATAGTCAAAGAACTATCACCCAGTGAATGGTATTAGACCTGCATGGGGTAGTGCCAATGGGAATGGGAATTCCAGCCCCTTATCTTCCAGAAGAATTCCTCGGACTCCGTGGAAGGCCATCGTGCCACAAAGCAGTTCACCGCTGCTGCTTCCGTTGGAGGGCTGTGTCTCAGTGCAAGATGAAAAGAAGTCAAGTGGACCAGGAAGCATGTTGTCCAGCATCGGTCACCTCACCTGTCCAGGTGGGTGCTCCCTTCTGCGGCTGTCCCCATGGCTTCTCCCCATGAGGGTGGAGACCCAGGCAGTGTTCCAGTGTTCACAGAGGCCACTGGCTCAGGAACGGTGCCCCAATTCATCTCCACCAAGAAGGAAGAACAAAGATCTACTTGCATCCTAAAATAGCATACTTTCAGATTTTAGGAGCACTTTTCTATGGGAAATACTGAAAATGGACTTCTGAACCTCAGGAGAGAAAGAGAGAGAACAAGTCAGGCTGAGAAACATGTTTCCCAGCAAGCAGCAGCCTGCCTGAATCCCCGCACCTACACATGGGGTGGGCTTCTCGTGGAAGACTGTGGGAACCAAGACTAAATAAATGCTAAGCGCCCTCAGTGCTTCTAAAACGCAAGGATGGCAACAATACAAAATACAAACTGAAAAGAAAAGCAAACAGGTAGCCCTGCCAGCTGGGCATTGCCCCAGGTGTCTGAATAATTTTGTGATTGAATCAGGCACCTGCCTATAGCATTGTAGTTTATTCCTCCTCAGCTAAAGTGACACATTTAACGAGAATGTTGCATTAGTGTCCTGGCTTCTTCAAAAACAAAGGTAAATAGAAGGGGCAAGAATGGAAGAGGGCATACAGGACTTGCTCAGGACTGTTTGCTTTTGCCCACGGAAACTGCAGTGGCCTCGAGAAGCAGTTGAGTGGGTTGTATAACCCTCAGCTGCTTCGGTCTCAACAGGGAAAATACTGTCCTGGGTAAGCACACCTTGGGTTTTTTGTTGTTGTTGTTTGTTGTTGTTGTTGTTTTAACTGAATCAATTTCTTAGAAAAATGAAGTCTCCAAAGCATTTGTTTTCCATTTTTAAGTTGTTGTAAGAGCAATGGAGTGAAATGGAGATGAAACTGCCTCCCAGTGCCTGTCATCTTCACCCACCCGCATCCTTCGTCTGTCTCTGTGTCATTCCCCCTTTATCACACTGTGACCCCCTCTCTGATCACAATCTTTAGTTACACTATCATTACTCACCTCCCAGACAGACTCTGTAGATTTCAAATGTCAAAATCAAGGAATTCTCCACAAGATCATTTAATCAGGAAAACAGAGAGAGAAAGTGAAACATAAATGAATTACAACTCACATTTTCCACACCCTCTGCACCCTCTGTGGATGCTAGACTTCAGCCAAGTCTCCTTCCTAACCATGTGTGCTGCCTGTTGAACTATAAACTAAAAGGTTTGTTTCCAGGGTTATGTTACTGTTGGCTGATAGCGTATCATTTCAAGGGGGTCCATTTTTCTCAGCTCGGCTCAAATCGCTTTGGCAGGTTTAATCTGGTCTAACAGCTTTGCTATTTACTGCTGGAATTTCTGTATCTTAAGAGTACCCTGGGAATTTAGCTTAGTGGCTAAAAGATTGACTTATAGCTCCAAACCAGGTGGAAGTCAGGATGCACTGAAAATATACACAAGGATATATTGCAGAATTATCTCTGCTCTGAGAGCATTCCCACGGGCACGGAATTAATTTCTGGTTTTTAAACTGTGCAAAAGTTACTGTATGAATCTAGAGATTTAGAGCATTCCTCAGGTTGAAAGGGGAGAGCTAGGCTGGGGAAGGAGCGGGGACTGGGACGCACACAGACCTGGGCTCTGTGATTGACTAGGCCTGTGATCTTGGGTGTATTCCTTGATCTCTTTGAGCTTTCTTCTCCTCGTTTGCACAAGAGGATAATAAATCCCCAGTGGAGAGTTGTCCTGGGGATCTAGTGAAGCAATGCTCTGGGGATACAAACTCGTAAGTCTCTGTCTCTATTTAGAGGACTCTCCATCCCATCCTCTATCTAAATCACTCTCACCTTCTCTCTGTTTATAAAATATGTTTTAAATGTTAGAGAGCCTGAGACTTATGAGGACCATCAGAGTAATAGTGACCCAATCTTTGTAGATAGGACCAAGGTTGATCAAGATTTTTCACAAATTTGTTTCATTCCACTCTTCCAAACGTCTTTGGAAGAGCTCATTCTTACTTCTGTTATCTGCTGAAGAAGCCATGCTACATAATTGAAGATAAGCAAAGCAGGGCCCTAATAATCATAAGATAACAACAATGGCAACGATAACAAGGATGATGATGATGATGACAGCTAACCTTCATTGAGGGCTTCCTTGTACCTGATATTCTATTAAGTGGTCCAACGTAGAGTTACTCATTTAATACTCACAACACCTTATTTGATAGGACTATTATGATCCATATTTTATGGATGAGATCATCATGTTTCAGAGATGTCCAAGGTCACCAAACAAGTGAGAAGCAGAACAGCATTCAAATCCCATCTTTTTACTCCATCTCCATATCAAACCATGGTCTAATTATCTTTCTACTGTCTCAGGTGATAGATGACATTAGAGAAGAAAGGTTACCTTTGTAGAAAATAAAATCATCAGGAAGATTTTTAAAGGAAGAAACAGTAAGATCATTCAGCAAATACTTTGGGTGTCTATTAAGATTAGGTGCTGCATTGGACATTGGGAAGCCCTTGAAATCACCCAGGTGAGAGATAGCAGTAGCCAGGTGTATCAGATACTTTCCGTTGTTCCTCATCTGTTTCCTGCTTTCAGCTACTTGGTCTGTATCAGCCACTGCTCTGACCAGCTTTCCATGGATTACAATGAATCACACAGGCACAGCAAAAAATTCATCCAGAATATATACAGAATCCATACCAAAAAAAAAAAAGACAATAAGATTTCAAGATGGACAAAGTATTTGAAAAGTCATTAAGTAAAAGAGGAAATCCAAATGTCCAATAAACTTACATAAAGGTGCTCAACTTCATTAGTTATTTTGGAAATTCTCGTTAAAACCAAAATACGATGCTCCTCCATACCCATCAAAATGGCTACAATGGAAAGAATGGAAGCGGTTTGAAGCTACAAAAACTTTCATACACCACTAACAGAAGGATAAACTCACACAATCACTTTGGAAAATTGTTTGGCTGTATCCACCAAAAACACATGTGTGCCTTATGATTCAGCAATTCCGCTCCTGGGTGTACACCAACAGTAACACATGGATATGTTCACCAAGAGGAATGTTCACTGTGACACTATTTGTAATAGTACCAAATTGGAAGCTTGACAAAAGCCCATGAAGAGTAGAATAGATAAATAAAATATGTTAGCATCATATAATCGAATATCACACAGCAGTGAAAATGAACATTATACACAGCAGTATGGAGAAACTCACAAACATAATGTTGACCAAAAGAAACTATCAATAGAAGCCATTCATTCCAGCACTACAAAGTTTTAAAATATCTTTAAAAATTAATGAATGTTATTAGAAATGAGGACAGTGGGTCTTCTGGGTTGGGGAGAAGTAGGGAGTGCCTGAAAAAGGGTCTAAGTGGGGCTTCTGGGGTGTTGGTAATGCTTTGTTTCTTGATCTAAATGCTGAGTAGCTGGTTGTATTAGTCCATTTTCACACTGCTGATAAAGACATACCTGAGACTGGGTAATTTATAAAAGAAAGAGACTTAATGGACTTGTTCTTTAGGAGCACTTTAGGAGGCTGGGGAGGCCTCACAATCATGGCGGAAGGTGAACGACACATCTCACATGGTGGCAGACAAGAGAAGAGAGCTTGTGCAGGGAAACTCCCCTTTTGAAAGCAATCAGATCTTGTGAGATTTATTCACTATCAAGAGAAAAGCATGGGAAAGACCTGCCCCTGTGATTCAATTATCTCTCACTGCATCCCTCCTACAACACATGGAAATTCAAGATGGGATTAAAATTATTTAAAATCAATAAAATGCTAATGTGACTTATACTGATTAGTGTGGTTGCATTTGGCCACTCTTTGTGATAAACTTACTTAAGTAACCCAAATGAACAATAGCTCCTGGCATTCTTGCTCATATGTAGCCCCCTCCTACACTGTCTCCAGACTTGGCCATGTGACCAGCTTCAACAAATGGTTCAGTAAGTTTTCGCATGCTGAGTTTGTTTTCTTGGAACGCCTCTTCTTGGAACCTGGCCACCAGGCTGTGAGGAAGCCCAAGCAGCCATCTGGAGATGCCCATGTAAAGTTCCCTCCTCTTACGTGCGGATAAGCATGCCAACCTTGGGAACTGTAGAGGTGATTAAGTGAGTTAGTATACACAAGTGGACACACAGTGAAAGGCAGGCTCTAGCTGCTTACCTTGACAAAAAGATTTCCTTCCATTTCTACAAACTCGTACGTTGCCTTCTTCCACACTGCTCAAAGTTCGCCTTTTCTAGGAAGCTATTTGGTACTTCCTAGTCCTCCTCTATCCGTCAGCACAGCCTGCACAATTCAGCACAGGAGTATTTGGTTGTGCTCTGGAGCTGGATACTTTAACAGTGAGTCATTGCACAGTATGGCACTGAGAGGCAGTTTTGCCCTTCATCTCATCTGGGCTTCATCACAATGCTATGTGAATTGGGCAGAGTAGATACTATCACATCCATCTCAAAGATGAGAGAACTGATGCGTGGAGGGCTGCCGTTCCCTGGCTGGCCCTGTGAGAGGAGTGGTGGGATCCAAAGGTGGGCCTTCCCCTTCTCTGGTTGCCTTGAACCCCAGGGAAGGATCTGGTGCTTCTTTTCCTTGGTATCTCCTCTCAGGCATCTGCTCTTCCTGGACCCACCAAGACACTCCAGTGCTCTCGCCAATGTTGAACCCAGGACTTTGCTCAATAAAGCTTCACAATTATGATACTAATAATGCAGCACTGAAACTGAGAGATAGGACGCTCTGCTGAGAATCAGAGGGATGGGTTTTCTCCACATTCACTGAAGAAGATGCTTCATCATCCACAGAGGTGTCAGTCCTTAAGCACAGCCTGAATGCCACCTGCTGTTGCTGCTTCCGCTGGCTGCCGCTTACTGACCACTGGTTCCATGGGCTCTGTGGTACACAGATGGAAGCATCCTTTCTCCACTGGGGCCTCTCACTGTGACCAGGACTAAGACAGGGAAATAACCAAAGGATAGTGGGATCAGAGCTGTTGACGGCACACACACGGTGCCATGCAAATCCACAGACGAGGAGAAGCTGGGCAAACTATGTGATGATGTTCATCTTCATTTTGCCCCCCAAGAACCCCCAGGAGAAGGAAGTAAGGATAAACCTAGCAAGATCTGTAGATGCTCTCCAAGACATGTTTATTTCACCTACTTTTCCATTCCCATTGAAGTGGTCCAGGCCCAAGGCCTGTAACCCCCAGCCAGAGTGTAGTGCCCTCCCCAGCCTGGCTGCTTCCTTCAGCCCTGCACCTCCCCTGCACTGGCACATGGTTGCCAGGCTGGCCTCCAGCACAGTCTACACTTCCCACAGCCTCCTCCACAGCCCGTCCTGGCTTCAGCAGCATTTCACTACTTTTTTCTCACTGCAAAGCTATCTTTGGCCCCAAAGTGTCTTGGCCACTGTGACCTCACAGGGAACAGAGGCAGCTGACACAGATTTGTCTCCTTGATCAGGCTTTAGCCTAAGTATGACGTAGTCAGGAAAACCCTCTCTGGGCTGGTGGCCTGGGGCCACACTGGTACCGCACTATCTTCTTTCAAACTATGGGTGCTCACATGAGGGAACATTCCAGGCATTTGCTTCCTGTGTTAAACAGGACCCTCTACAAAGGCAATGGTGGTGTCCGTTCTGTTCACAATGACAGGCTGCACTGAGCAGAGGATGGGGCCTGTGGCTGGTGTTTCCTAGGTGGCAGCTGGATGGCTACTGGTTCCAGAACCATCCTCTGCATTTGGAGGTCTCTGTCCAGGAAATTCAGGCTCCGCTACATCAGGTTTTATGCTAGAAGCAAAAGGAGATTCAAACGGGTTTGAAATGACAGGTTGGTGACTTACAGGTTGGTAGAGGAGACAGACTTTATTAACAAGGGCTTCAAGCCTGGGCTCCTCTGTGCCCCTGCAGAGCACGAGGCCATCTGTCGTGCCGGGGTGCCTCTCTACCACCATTGCCCCGTGGAGCAACTCCTTGCTGGCATTTTCTGTAAGTCTGTTCAAGCTAGTATTTGTTGAACACTCATCTGAGTCAGGCACTGTACAGGCAGTTTCATACCTGATCCATACAAGAGCTCCAAGTCAGAGGAAAGAAGGCGAGAGTTGGAGATGTGAAGTCACTTGTCTAACTAATGTCCAGCAGAGAGAAAATGGGAGAGGCTGCAATGGAGAGAGGTCTGCGCGATGCTGTAACCAAATATGCTCAGTTACAGAGAACAGAGTCATGCTTGCCAGTTTAGAAAGGGATTTACCTCGGCCGGGCATGGTGGCTCACGCCTGTAATCCCAGCACTTTGGGAGGCCGAGGCGGGTGGATCACAAGGTCAGGAGATCAAGACCATCCTGGCTAACACAGTGAAACCCCATCTCTACTAAAAAATGCAAAAAAATTAGCCGGGCATGGTGGCGGGCGCCTGTAGTCCCAGCTACTCGGGAGGCTGAGGCAGGAGAATGGCGTGAATCCAGGAGGCGGAGCTTGCAGTGAGCCGAGATTATGCCACTGCACTCCAGCCTGGGTGACAGAGCGAGAATCCATCTCAAAATAAATAAATAAATAAAAGAAAGAAAGGGATTTATCTCTGTTACTAAATTGATAACAGAATCACTGAGGAGCTGAAGAATGATCCTAGGTGAGCTTCCAGGACCAACTATGATGCCACAAACGTAGGCTGTTAAGGAAGCTGCCTGTCAAGCAGGGCCCCAAGATATCACTGCTGCCTCCAGAATGCTGCCCTCCACCCACTGAACTCAGTTCTGAATGCAGGTCTTGAGCAGTGCTTCTAATTGGCAGGAGATCAGCTGCAACCAGAATCTTGGCTCTGAGAACATCTGGGAAATAGTGGTTTTAGCTCTCTAGGCTCTGTAGAGCAAAAAGGCATATCCAATAGAGTGGGAGAAAAGAAACCTTGGAGAGGGTAAGTCAGAGGTAGTCCCAAATATCAGTCCAATGTTAAATTGTGATTTCGTGTGTGTGTGTGTGTGTGTGTGTATATCTGGTGTGGTATAAGTTTGGGTGGGGTGGAGGTGATCGTATGTGTGCATTCTCTCTACCCTCCTTCCATGCATATGCATCCAGGAGAGATGGGTCCACCTTCTCTCCTTCTGGCACATGCCCCCATATTTCATCTTATCTAACGGTCTTTGTGTCTTGCCAAACTTCTGACTGTGGGGGCCACTGCTAAATGCCTATCCCGAAGGCATTCTCTACTTCCGTACTTCAAACACCCAATATACACTCTTCCCTTTTTCCTTGTCGACAGAAGCCCAGTGTATCTCAGAATGTGTTCAGGACCTCTTGCAGCTCAGGATAGACTTACAAGATGGTTCTGGCCAAGAAGATTTAAGTAGAAGTTTAAAAGGTGAAGCTTCTAGAAAAGCTATTGTTTTCCTAATGAAAAGGGACCATTAGCTTGCATTTCCTTTTGATTTTTGTCCTTTCCTATTAGGTCTTACTTCCTGGAAATGAAACATGTTGCCTAGAGGTGGAGCACCCATTCAGTGAGCCTGTGACGAAGGCCATCTACCAAGAACAGGAGAAAGCTAGAAGGAGCCCATATCTCTGACTGCCCTCGACAGCCCACACAAGAACTCACGCTGGAAAAAGAAAGCCCTGTTTCAGTAAGCTCATGTGTGTTTCGTTTTCTGTTTTTCTGATACACCCGAACCCCAGAGAGTCTTCTCTGAACTCAATCTTTGTATACTCAGTTCCATGGCCTAATGGAAATTTAGGGTCAAAAGAGGGTTTAGAGATTACTTAGCTACAGTCATATACTGCCTTATAGATTCTTAGCACTCAATGTATGTGTGTCTAGTCTACATGGTTAGTATTAAATTCCCTGAGGATGGAAATTATATGTACATTTAAATATTTGTGTTGAAAATGTTTCTCAAAACCTCGCTAAGTAAATGAATTCACAGAACCTTTCGCAATGTTTCTGGAGAAACATTTTTTTTGAAAGTGCATGGATTCTATGAAAAATTTGGGGAGGATAGAAAGAAAAAGAAAAATCCTATGCAAAGGTTAAATTTTGAAACTCTTGTTAAAATAAAATCCTTAGTCAAATTAAATTTAACAGAGTTTATTTTATTTTATTTTTGAGACAGAGTTTCGCTCTTGTTGCCCAGGCTGGAGTGCAGTGGCCCCCATGATCCCGGTTCACTGCAACCTCTGCATCCCGAGTTCAAGGATTCTCCTGCCCCAGCCTCCCAAGTAGCTGGGATTACAAGCATGCACCACCACGTCTGGCTAATACTTTGTATTTTTAGTAGAGATGGGGTTTTGCCATGTGAGCCAGGCTGGTCTCCAACTCCTGGCCTCAAGTGTTCCTCCCACCTCAGCCTCCCAAAGTGCTGGGGTTACAGGCACAAGCCACAGCGCCCGGCCTAAATTTAACAGAGTTTAATTGAGCAAAGAATGATTCATGAATCAGGTAGCCTCCCCAGCCAGAGTAGGCTCAGAGAGTCCAGCACAGCCACGTGGTGGAATATGATTTATAGACAGAACAAAGGAAAGTGATGTACAGAAAATGGAAGTGAAGTACAGAAGCAGCCGGATTGGCTCAGCATTTGTCTTATTTGAACACAGTCCGAACAGCTGACCACCATAGATTGGCCAAAACTCAGTGATTGGCACAAGGGTAGGTTATAGTCTGTTTGCACTTCCATTTAGGTTATAGTTCACGATGTACAGAGAAACCTTAGGGCAATCTTAAAATATTGGCTGGTGACATTACTTTTAATGGCAAAAACTACAACTACTTTTGCACTAACTTTTGCACCAATACGTAAGGAGGCAGTTTTAGGCTAAAATCAATTTAACAGATTTATTCTGAAAACTTGCTTTGTCTGTTGCTGCATAAAAAACAACCTCGAGGCTGGACGTGGTGGCTCACGCCTGTAATCCCAGCACTTGAGGAGGCTGAGGCGGGCAGATCACCTGAGGCCAGGAGTTCAAGACCAGTCTGACCAACATGGAGAAACTCCGTCTCTACTAAAAAATACAAAGTTAGCCAGGTGTGGTGGCGCATGCCTGTAATCCTAGCTACTTGAACCGTGGGTGCTGAGGTTGTGGTGAGCCGAGATCACGCCATTGCACTCCAGCCTGGGTAACAAGAGCGAAACTCCATCTCAAAAACAAAACAAAACAAAAACCAACCTCGAAATGTAGTGGATTCAAACAACCGTGATTTTATTTGTTCTTGATTTTCTGGGGCTAGAATTTGGGATGATGTTTCTTCTGCTTCACGCAGGTTGGCTGGGATTACTTACTCGGCTGCATTCAGCTGGTGCCTGGGCTGGGCTGGGAGGCCAAGAAGGCTTCACTCACAAGCCTGCCCATGGGTGCTCCTGCTTCTGCCAACTTCTATTGGTCAAAAAAGGTTGCAGGACCTGCTTAAATTCAAGGGAAGGGGAAATAGGCTCTTCTTAAGGAGAAATAGCAAGGCTGTAATACAAAAGAACATGTATGATGGCAGAGAGTGCTGTCACCATCTCTGGAGACAAATCTACCACTCTAACTTTCACTTCTGTACAAGCCGAGATTACCCTGCAAATTGGAATTTTTATATGTGAGGAAAAATTAATATTTATAGGATCCCTACCATATGCTGAGTGCTGTGCTAACTACTTTCACGTAGAATTTCTCCTTTGCTGTGACCTATATTTTCTGTAGACCTAATCTCTGGGTTCATTTGAACCATCTGCTGATGGAAAGGCAGTAGCTCACAGCTGGTCCCTCCATAAAGGAGGGCGCATGACAATTCCAACAGGTGGAACCTCTCCAGCTTCCTTCCATAGGCAAGAACAACCCTAAACATGTTCTCTTTGTCCCTCGGGATCACGGGATACCGACTTGCATTCCTAAAAGAGCTCATATCACACTGTTGTTCATTTGGCCTCTTGGGGGATGGAAGCTTATCTCTTTAGAGATTCTTTTATTATCGAAAAGAAATCATTTCTATGATTCTGGGTATCCAACTAAAACTTGTACAAACAGAAGATATTGGATGGGCAGCTCCCTGGCAACCCCCTCCTATTCAGTTGTGAAACACCCTCCTCCAGTTATTCAGAAACTACAAACTAAGGCAGTAGCCCCGTGATGTCTGTACAAGAACTGATGACAGGCACACCCAGAGGCTTACAGGGTGTTTGTGCTGAACATCAGCCCTGAGGGACCTTCCTGTTTTATCCCTTTTGAAACTCTTGACTGTAATTCAAAAGTAAAGAATAAAACAATAACCTGCCTGTGTACCACAGAGCAACTCTACTGCAGTAAAAACGGCAGATGCAGGAATATTTCATCCACCAGAAATTAACCTGCAGTCAGAGGAAAGCTGTGACATCAGCAGAGTTGGTGTCTCTGGAGTCGAAAGGGAAAGTTCTGGGACCTTCTAGCAGGGAGGTCGTGGAAAACGCAGGAGCGGCCCCAGATTGCTAATAGGGGCAATTTGCTAACATTTTCAACACCTTTTAAATGTTGTAGACACTTTCGGAGTAGTGTAGGGATTTCAAACGTTTATTAGGCAAATGAGGAAAGAGAGGTCCAAATGGGTGAGGCGACTTGACCAGGGTCATTGGGCTGGGGTGTGGCACAGCAGCTTCTGGACCCCGTTTCCTCATCTCCAGCCCAGCCCCCTTTCCAAATACACCCTTCCTCCAACCCCGACCTTTCTGCCCAACTCGTCTTTAAGTGACCCTGAAGTGGTGAAGAGGAATCCACTTGGTCAGAGCATGGAGAACAAGGAGGAGCGGAAGGGAAGGGACAAGGTCAGGGGTTTCTGAAAGGTCTTTAGGCAGCCTCAAGCTGGAAGGTGTGTGTGGTGGGCAGGGGAGGTCTCTCTAACACCTCCTGCCTCTCCTGATAGCACTAGAGGAGGGAAGGAGTCATTCTTGGCCAAATCGAGGGAGGCCTGCAGCAGCCAGGCCTTCAGGGATGCAGCCGTGTCTAGTGGTTGTAATCTGGTCTCATATCAAACTCACACAGAAAGACAGAAAAGGCTCCTTGACTGTGAGGTCTTGGTGAGGACACACTTGTGTGAACTTGAGCAAACCAGGGAAGAGGAAGTCAATAGAAAACGTGCCTGGAAGACAAAGAGAAGAGAATAGAGGCCAGTCCTTAGTCACAATTACTGTAAAAGATCATTGTTCATCTGAAATCACCTCCCTCTTAAATGCAGGTTGGGGCATTTATGAGTGAATTTGCACGTGTGAATATTGCAAAAATAGACAGCTGAGGGCAGAATTCCCACTGGCCTTGTCTTTGGGACTGTGTGTTAGCAGAAGACAAAAGAAACAAAAGATAGCCACCATTGGTTTGTAACTCAAAGGATAAAGGCTAGCGGGGATGGATACCTCATTCTCCATGATGTGCTTGTTTCATACTGCATGCCTGTATCAGAACATTCACATACCCCACCCCACAAATATATACACGTACTATGTACCCACAAAAATTTAAAACTAAAAATAAAATGGAGAACAACAACAAAACCCCAAAGAGAGCTACTTCCTCTGCATTAGAAGTACATAGGAAACTTAGTGTCAAGAGAGAGTGAGGAGAGGGACAGCGGAGGAGGAAAGAACGGGAAGGGGATCCCGAGACACATACTCAAGCTTTGGGGTTAGCTGAAGGGCTTTTTAACTAAAGGAAGATCCGACATTAACATGCCAGGAGTGCTGACACAGACCCCCTTCTGGCTCCTAAATATTCAGTAGGATCTGTGCTGCCCCCACCAGCCTCGAGGATTTTTTTTAGTGGGTAGGGAGGTGGGGTGGACAGAAAGGAAACAGGCAGAGTCTCACTCTGGCTAAACTTGGTGAGAGGGAGAGAGGGTCTGCTGGACCGTAAGATGCTTCTTCAACTGGATTGATTCAATGGACGCAGGGCTTGGCTTGGGAGCTCCTAGGAATGACCCATCATTTGGGGAGCTCACTGGTTGGGGAAGGAAGATCAAGTCAATGTCATCTCCATCCTAAGAGCCAAAGAGCCCCAAATGATATATTGTTTTGTAGACTGATATGGTTCAGTTAGTAATGATAGTTCTAGAACTTTCTACCCAAATTTTGGTAGTCCTGAGGTCCAGGGCAGTGCTTACAGAGACCTTAGCCTGGACAAGTCTTGGCTGGATAGACACTCCTTGCACCAAGAGGCAGGAATTCTATGTTAATTCTGTTCTAAACAGCCTTGTGCCTGGAGTGCCTTTGTAACCACCCAGCAGGTTCTTCCTGACTGCTGTACAAAGAAAATCTACTCACTGAGATTGATATGGCTCCCATGAGTGGAGGAACACCAGGGTTCTTCATCTCAGGCTGAATTAGATAAAATGACATGGACACACGTGGAGTGGTTTTAAGGAGCAGAGAGTTTAATAGGCACCAATGAAGGAAGAAGCTCCCCCATACAGAGACAGAGGGAGGGGGGCTCCAAAGCCAAGAGAGGAAGCCCTGTGTGCCGCGGTAATGTGTCTACTTATGTGAGGAGGTGGTGCCTGATTTGCATAGGGCTCAGGGGATTGGTTTGACCAGGCATGTCACTCACACAGCCCGCGAAAAAACTGGTCCTCCTGCTCTAGCCTTTTAATGTGCAAATACAGGGTGCCATGATGTTCTACACACGTGGGCATAAAAGGG